TGTGGGAGGTTCTGTATGATACACACACACACACACACACACACACACACACACAAATCAACAAATTTTTAAAAAAGACATTTTTGAGGAGGAAGCATAAAAATGTACTTCATGTTAAATAGTAGAGGTGATAAGCATTACCAGTGAAATCTACCTGATGACTTTATATCCATTCTCAGGTATTGAGGATCCAAGTGTAACCAACTGTGACTAGCAATAATGAGATACATAGAGATTAAAGACACATGTGCAAACATGTGTTAGTAGCATTAAAAGAAAGGACCCAGGGGCTCCTCCTAAGCCCATGTGACCACTGAGGAACAGATCCTCAAACGACCTTAAGAGTAAAGGAAACAGCATATTTTAAAATGAAATTGAGATCTTCTTTAAAGGGTTAAAAACTCATTCAATTTTATGTCTAACAGGGTTTATACTGAGTTCAATGTTGTATGACTATATTAATTCAACTGTGAACCTAAAAATTTATAGCCACCTTTGAAAAAGATGTATCCTTGCTCTGGAATGTGTTACTGAATATGTTAAAGCTGTAATGAGATGCTTCTAATCAAAAAAAAAAAGATATGCTTTAGTTTACTAAGTCTGAGTAAATTTGCCATTTCTATCCACTATTTATTTTACATGTTGCAATGATATGAAAATAATCATGAATCATATGCCAGGATGAATTTTAATAAACAGTATCAACCAAGACCTGTTTAAATAATCTACAAATTTGGCTTCCTCTAAAAGAGTGATTCCTTACGTAGTACAGCAAGGGTTAAAACTGTGGATCACAAGATTCTGTGTTTATTTTAGTACTTGAAAGATTTGCTAAACCACCTGTGAGGTTAACACTTCCAGAGTAAATCAAAATATAAACTAACTGATCCCAGATTCCAGGTATGGAAGCCAAGACTGAGATCATCATGTAAAAATAACTAAGGTCAAGCTACACTGCAGGCTGAATTTGTATGAGGTGCTATTCACACCCAAGTCAGAAAATTCAGAGCACATCATACTTACTGAGTTCATTTAAACGAGTTTTTTTCCCAGTAGAGATGAGCAGAAAGCTGACAACAGATGAAGTCCCGGGAGCCAGCACTTGCTGATCAATGTGGAAGCAGTTTGTTTTTCATGTACAGCACACATCAGGTTTGAGAAATCACCAGGAAGCAGTTGAAAAGTTGAAGTTATCTACAAATTAAAGAAGTAAGATGTGCCTGGGAATATAGACCAGCAGTAGAGAGCTTGCCTAGCTTGCACAAGGCCCTGGGTTAGATCCAGGAAGAACAGGAAGGAAGGAGGGGAGGGCAGGGGAGGGCAG